AAGGGGGGGGGGGGGGGATAAAAAGCAAATCTGATATATTAATCAAATATATAACTCTCCTACAGTCTCGGTATTTACTATTTACTAGTATTTATGCTGCTGGAAAGGCAAAATTGTGTGTACGTTTAACCAACTTTGAGTCTTACTCATGATTACTGTTGAATTTTTGTTTTCTTAGGATGCTTCAGAGAGAGTTTGAGAGAGACTACAGCTTCCTTTCAAATGTATCCTTCACAGTTACAATTCATGCATGTTTATAAAGAATTTCAACATAACAAATGCAGAGAAATACCTGATATGACGTATAAAATCCTCATCTTGGAAACAAATGTCCTATTATGCAGTTACATTGCCATGTATGATACAAATGTTATTAAAAGAATTTCAACATAACAAATGCAGAGAAATACCTGATATGACGTATAAAATCCTCATCTTGGAAAATGTCCTATTATGCAGTTACATTGCCATGTATGATACAAATGTTATTTATTTTCTCGTTGAATATCTTGTTCTTTCGAGACTATTAATGTCACAAAAGTTGACCTCATACTGTTGGTGTCATATTGTAAATTTAGATTCTCACAGGTTTACATTTTTCCTCCATAAGGACTCGCAGGCCTTGACTAAGTGTTGTTTTAGGTGGCAAGTGTGTGTGACGAGACGTCTCTGCCCTGCTCACCGCGATTCCTGGATGTGTTCAGTGACACAGCGCTCATTCAGTTCCCTCTGGAAAACTGGAATAAACTCCCAGAATGCATGTGGACTGAGCCTTCAGAGCCACTGTACCAACACTGCCAAGATCTCGAGATCATCCAGAAAGAGAAAAGGAGCTGAAAATATCACTGCTTTAAAAATGCAACATTATTATTATTTTTGTTATATTTGGCTCGTTTATTTCCAGTTTCTTGTTGTATACATTGTTTTTTATTATAATAATAATAATCAAAATATTGTTTTGTCTTTTTTAATAGGAGTCTTGTTTTATTGGGACTTAAAGGTGAAGTGTTTATTTTTTTGTACAACTGTTGTCAACATACAGAGCTGGAGAAAGTATGGAAGCCTGTTTCTGCCACAGGATAAAAAAATAAAAGGTAACTGCAAGATTTAAATGCTTAATTATGAGATGTTAACTCAAAATTTTGAGTTAGAAACTTGCAATTGCAAGAAAAAGAGCCAAAATTGTGAGATAAAAAGTCAATTATAATTTATATTTTTAACTCTGTGGCAGAAACAAAAAATCGATACACTTTTTTTAAAGCAAACCAATATATAAAAAAAGTCCAAATTGCAAGAAAAAAGTCAGAATTGTTAAATAAAAAGCAGTTCTTTCTTTTTTCTAATTCCGTGATGAAAACAAGCTTGCATAAAAAAAGTTGGGGAAACTACAAAATGAAGAAAGTCGCATAACTGATGTTCACTCACAGAAATGAACCTTTATTTAGTCAAACATTTTAATGACTTCAAAACTTTGTCTTCAAGATATTGTCATTTTTTGGCTTCATCTTCTCTCTTGTGTTATTAAAAAAGACACTGAATTGAGATGGTCATGTGTCAAACACTGGATCAATCCCATCATACTGTATCTCACTCACTCTGTCTCAACCTGCTTCTCAGAATCACCTGAATCTTCCTTCACAACACACTCTTTTCCACTCACCACTGCTGATTCTGACTGTTCTTCATTTACTGATGTCATAATATTGCTTGACTTTGATTGGCTCTCAGTGGAGACACCGTTAGTGATGTTTGACTGTTGTTCCTCCTCCTCACTTTTGTTTTTTGTGGCACAATCTCCATTATGCAGATGGGACTCGATCTGGCCGTTTATTTTAGAGTGGTCTGGTTTCTCAGAAGAGTCAGTTTCCGATGACTGACTTTCTGCATTTGCGTCTGTGGCCTCTTGCGTCTGTTCCGCATTCGCTGTGGTCTCCTCAGTAACCTCTCCATTATTGGTCTGCAGCTCTGAAGCTTTGTTCTCATTGGTCGATTCAGAGTTCTCCAGTTTAGCCTTTTCCGCCTCTTCTGCTGCTTTCCTCTCTTTCAGCTTCTCTTTGAACTCCATCATTCTTGTGCTTAAGCAACAATAACAGTGATTTATTTAGCTTTTTCCATAAATTAAAAATGCACCATATACAGAATCAAAAATTCTGCAGAAACTGAATGCAAATTATTCACAAACTTTTACGCCTCCCCAGAAGTGTTTTTGCTGCTGTTGTTGTCGTCGTTGTTCATTTATTTTTTGTTTTACTTTATGACCTTCTTCAAAATGTAATTATAATAAGTAATAGGGCTGGGGTTTTTGACACAAATTTCACGATTCGATTCAATTCTCATTCACAAGCTTGCGATTCGATTACCGATTATTTTAGATATATATCAGGTACAGTACATACGAAATTTTCTCAAGGAAAAAAATCTCAAATAATGCTGTAAAATATACATGAGAGTCAGTTGGTACTACATTACTATAATATTGAAGGTTAAAATTTACTGATTTGTAGGCTAATATACAACTGCTAAAATTACACTTAAGTTTTTTAAATAAAGTTACAATTACATAATAATACTTCTACTTCAGTTCGGTTTTTTATATATATATATATATCTTGATGGATTTATTCAAACATAAATTAAACACTGAAGAACAGTAAAAATTATAATTAATATGTTATATGGTGCATATATTTATCAAAATGCCCCTCTATAGTTTATTTTTCTAGCTTACCAATGAATTTATGGTCACAGAATATGCCTTTTCTGAGGTAAATGTGACATTACGTAACACATTGTGTACAAGCCGTTATATTGACGTCTTTGCGCGGCTGAAACACTGATTGAGCGATTACATGACAGGATACGGCACTCTTTTCTTTTAACTTCACTTCGGATGTTTAGTCATGTTTATTTTGTGCTGAAACTGGTATTAATGTGGAGGAGATGATCAGTTCACGTGTGCCTCGCGCTGCCGCTTTTATTGAACTGAGGCGCGCCGCGCTACAGCAATCACTCCACATTAAACCGCGCCAAAACGGCATTTATTATTTAAATACGGCAATACAATGGACAGAATTTAAAATCTGAGACTTTGTTTCATATTAAACGTACCAAAGCACAATGTTTATTGCGATTTATTGGATGGGAGGTGCGCCTCAATGTTCCATCCATTAACTGAAATCAGGCTAGACTAATCGATTCTTGAGATTTATGAATCGATTAAAATCGAGATGTCAATATTTTTTACCCAGCCCTAATAAGTAATAATAGTAGTAACTCCCACTAACAAGCAAAAGATTTTATTTAAATACACAAGATTTTTATGGAAACACATTTTCCATTCCAAATTATGATTACCGTAATGCAGAAATAAATATCATGGTAGTATTTGTTGTTCTGTCTTTAATTTATGCTTATTTAAATAACACTGCATTTATGAAAATCGAATAAAAAAATACCAAAATAACGAAAGTGATGAGAAATAAAAATTTATGTATCTATTTATATTGCATTTGCCATTTTCAAACATGACAATACTTTAGAAATACTACAGGTAAAATGTTTTTTTTATATATTATTTCTATTTGTTATTTTAAATTAATGTAATGTATAATCATATATAAAGTAAACAATACATTAAGTTTCTTGGGATTCTTAATGTTCTGTGTTGACATGTTTCTGAATTTCACAGTGGTTAAATCCTGAAAGTCTCTTACCTGTATGAAGTCTTCAGTATGCCATTGACCAGAGCGAGCTGCTCCAGCGTGGTGTCCTGAGAGGGAACCAAACCCTGAAACACATCTCATGTTCAACAAAAACCTGCAAGTCTTCACATGTGGGCTCTATTAGTCAGCAGTTTCAAGTTGTGCTTACCTCAGGTGGTGCATCACAAAGCTCCGCGCCTCCCTGACGAATTGACCGTTCGACACGTACGGCCTGCTGGGTAATGTTCCTCAGGAAGTCAGAGCTGCATTTGGTTTGAGGATGATCTTCTCCGCACTGTTGCACCACATAAACACGCTTAGAACATTATCATTTATTCAAAGCAAAAATTCAACACACAAACGCTAAATCTGACCTTGCTCTGGAAGATGCTGTGAGCTTCTTTTTCATGATTCATGCCTCCTCTGTAGTCTCCAGCCACACACAGTCTCTGAGCCAGCAGATGGTGCCTGCCAAACAATCAAAAATGACCTCAAGCAACACACAGGTAAAATAATTATTCGTTTAGATGAGTTTGATTACTTTGGCTCTGATCCAAACCCTAATAAGCTGCCTCAGTGTCTAATTATGCAATCATCTTTAAGGTAACCAAAACTGAACTACGCGTAAACTCCCTTAATGGGCAGCAACTAATTATATATATTTTTATTTAATATGCTTTAATTTTAAACTATGCATTTGCAGACTGTTTATTTTTTTCTATTTTATTGTACATAATTGGTTGGGGTTTTTTTGTTAATGGGGGTAATAACGTTCCAGAATTTTAACTTGTGGCAAATACAAAATGAGAATCTAGGAGAAATAAAATCAAAAGTAAAATTTTGGATGCATTATGGATTTAGAATTAAATGGCATGAAAATAATGTCACAATGCAAACAAACAAACAAATAACTGGGCTACAAAGCATAAAAAAATACGGCACTAAAGTCTCTAATTAGATCTAATTAGATGGCACTCTTTTCTAACAATACTTTTCCAAAACTTGTGGCAAATAATGTTATCTGTGCATTTGTTATTCCATTAAAAAAAATTTATAAAGAAAAAAATCTACATACAGTGGGTACGGAAAGTATTCAGACCCCCTTCAATTTTTCACTCTTTGTTATATTGCAGCCATTTGCTAAAATCATTTAAGTTAATTTTTTTTCCTCATTAATGTACACACAGGAATACTTTCCGTACCCACTGTATACACATACACACACTGTATTTGGAGTATTATTAGTAGCATTCATTTTGAGTATTTTATATTACTGGTTTATTGTATGTAATTAAAACCATAAAAAATAATGTCAAATATTGCATTAAAAGGCCATTTCTAATTAGAATGCACTATTTTCTATCAGTCTTTTCAGTATTATATATTAATTTTTAAAACTGACAATTCCTTTCAGTTTTTTTGCATTATGGGACTGTCTTATTCGTTAAGGATATATGTGATCCTGCCATTTATTTTGACTAAAATTGGTTTTCAAATGGAAGTGGAAGCTTAAAAGTTGTCTATATAAGCAGCTCACTAGGGTTTGGAATGGAGCCATAGTGCTTGCAGTATCTAAGCAGGTTATTTAATGATTACTATGCATCTCCCTCTATTTTTTATTTTTTTGTTTATGGTTAAAGCATCTCGTCTTACATCAGAGCTGTCGTCAGGTCTGTGTCTCCTCTGAAGGAGCTGTTGAGTTTCAGTGCGGTCTGTAGATACTGTAATGCCTGCTCTCCCTGAAGAACCAATCCCAGAGAAGCCTGATGGAGAGAAAAAAACAGAGAAACATCATCATTAAAACCAATATTTCTATTTGGGGTCAGTCATAGCTTGATGATGCATGATGACGTTTACATCAATGACTGCAGTGTAAGGATGATCTGCTCCGTGAACCGTCAGCAGAAGAACTTTGGCACGATACAGGCAGCGCTGAGCCAGAGTGGTTTCGCCTCCAGCTAACAGATACACTGCCAACAACACCTGGAACAAAAGAAAGAAGTGCATCAGATAATGATCATCTCTGTGCATATGAAAAAGTAGGTCTGTTTGGTTTTGTGAGAGCGTGACTCACGTATTGCTGAATGGTGTTGGGATGATCGAAACCCAGAACCCTTTCGCTGATGACCACAACCCTCAGCTGCACGCTACGAGCCTACAGGAGACGAGAGAGACATTGAGGGGATAACAAACGAACAGGGAACATTCTTAGAACTTTAGCTATCATTCTGGATTGTTCAACAAATGTTCTTCCTGTAACAGTAATAGAATGTTTGTTCAAAGTTATTTGGTCTTTAATAACATTAAAACATTAGGACTAATTTGATGCATGGTTTTTGGAATGTTTTTTTCTGAAACATTTTAGTTGGACATTCATTTAATGCTTTTTTTAAACGTTACTACTTACTGCTTGTTTCAGAATGTTCAGAGAACATTCAAAAGTAACGCTCCCATCCCCTTAATGTTTTCTTTAACATTCACATAACAAAGAAAAACGTCTCGGTTACTTGTGTAACCCTCGTTCCCTGAAGGAGGGAACGGAGACGTTACGTCAGTCGTGACTGACGAATTGGGATCTCGCCCGAGAGCCCAATCACCTTCGAGTGTTAACTAAACACGTCTCAGGGACGCCGCCTGCCCTGGCGCTTCACGGGCTTGGCAGGGGCGGAGGCGGGCTGCGCCGGTTTCCTGCGGCCAGCTCCACGCTGCGGCCGTTGCTTTTTTTTAGAAAGGAAAAACACTCTTTTAGAGAGAGCGCTGAAGCGCCCAGGGGAGGTCGCGGCGGGACCGCAGAATGGAAGCTGCAGCTCGCCGAGGTTTCAGCAGCCTGGATGGCAACCCCCGCTGACACGCCGTAACACCAACGCCAGCTGTTTTTCAAAACACTCGCGGAGATTTGTCTTGTAGAAGGCTCGGCTCCGAAGTGAAAAGCTGATGTGCGTTTGCACGCGCTCTCCTTTTATACCCGCACTGCGGGGCGGGGTGCGCGTGGCGAAACACGCACGCCAACTGTCATTGGCTTGTTTAGTTAACACTCGAAGGTGATTGGGCTCTCGGGCGAGATCCCAATTCGTCAGTCACGACTGACGTAACGTCGAACGTGACTGACTGAAAGGGAACAAGGCTTTTAAACATTTTGAAAATAGTTCTTAGCTGACGAAAAATAGCTCTAGAGAGGAGCATTTTGCTAAATACAGTAGTCAACATTTGAAGGGGATCAAAAAAACGTTAATCAAAGTTGTCCTAAGACAAGAACGCATTTTGGTTTTAGGACAACTTTGATGAAAGGTTTTGCACTTCAAATGTTGACTACTCTATATGTCTTATATTGTATTATATATTAATTGTATTTCGATTTAACCTGTTGTCCTCATTATTTAATGTATGTTTGAATAAAAACAAGTTTTTATTACAGTTACTGTTTAAATGTTTATTTTTCAACAACAAATGAATAAATCATTAAAAATTTGACAAAAACTTGATTGTTTATTATTAAATCAATTTGATTAACTAATTTATTATTAAGTAAACGAATTTATTATTATTAAACTTCATTTTTGGTTTAGGTTTCAGTTTTTGGCTAAATGAGATTTTGGTTTCTGTGTTTCAGAAAAAAAATAAAAATTACGTATCACTATAAATTGTATCTTAAAAAGGGGTTCAGCAAAATGTGTTTATTTTATTGCGGTCAAACGATTAATCGCGATTAAGCGCATCCAAAATAAAAGTTTTTGTTTACATAATATATATGAGTGTACTGTGTATATTTATTATGTATATATAAATACACACTCATACAGTATATATTTTGAAAATATTTACATGTATATATTTAGATAATATATAAATATATTTAATATACAAATATACCATTTTCCTAAATATATACATGCATGTGTGTGTGTTTATATATACATAATAAATATACACAGTACACACACACATATATTATGTAAACAAACTTTTTTTTTGATGCGATTAATCGCGATTAATCGTTTGACAGCACTAGTTTATTTATAAACTTTATATAAAATATTATATTTATTATAAAAGGTATAGTTTGTATTCATCATATTTCTATGATTAAAAAAAATTAAAAATAATGTTTCCAAGAAATAAAAACTTGCTTGATTAACTCTAAAGCTTACTTGAATGTGAGCTGGCTGTGCCTTAATTTGACCTAAATGGTCCTATTATACAACAAGCTTTCTTTTAAGCCACTGGGCAGCAAGACACACCCTAGATAGTGCACACAAACACACCTCAGCAGGATGACCCTGTACATAGGCCACTTTTGCCAGCTGACTAAGACAATGGCAGGCTTCAGGGTGAAGGTCATCGCACACGCGACCGAAGAGGTACGTCGCTTCTTTCAGCTGCTCGTACGCCTGCTCCAGTAACCCTACAGAGAGAACAGGGTCAGGCGAGGCTGTTCACACTTCACACATGATTCGGTTACTGCACACTGGGCCGTGAATACCTTTCTGAAGACTGTTCTGAGCCACCTTGAACATCCGGGTGGCGTCGGTGGTTGTTGTGGTTATGTGCTTGACGACGGGCAGGATGTTGAGCACGTCTTCAGGAGAGATTGGCACTTTGTTACGGTTGTCAAGAATGTATTCTCTGAGACGGAGCTGCGGGACATTCACAAACAGACAGTTTCTCTATGACATAGGCAGGAGTGTCACAGCACAGACGCCCTACAAAATAGCAACAAAGATCTTCACATATGCACTGCTCTATAGCTGGTATCAAGGGAGGTCTGACCCTTTCTTGCGCACCAAAGCTGAATTTATTTGATCAAAAATACAGTAAATATTGCTTAATATTATTGCTATTTAAAATAACTATTTTTTTTTTATGTGAATACATTTGAAAATCTAATTTATTCCTGTGATGCAAAGCTGAATTTTCAGCATCATTACTCCAGTCTTCGGTGTCACCTAGTTTTAGTCAATTTTATTACATACGTCTTGCTTTGTGTTTCTAACTTGTTTAAAGTTAAACCTATGAGATTAACTTGCTAGCCTAGCATACACTATAAGCAAAATTATCGCATGCAAAAAAGTAATATTGTAGTCTTTCAAATTTAGCCATTGTTTGGTTCAACGCAATACCTGAATGCCAGTCTTCAAGCACATCTCTCTCAACACTTTACTGATTATTATCAATGTTGAAAACTCTTGTGCTGTTTTGTGCAAAGTGTGACATTTCATTTTTCAGGATTCTTTGAATTCAAAAGAACAATTTATTTAAAATATAAACGTTTTGTAACATTATAGATGTCTTTACTGTCACTTTTGATCAATGTAATGAATCCTTCTTAAAGAAAAGTATTAATTCCTTAAAAACATGTTTATCAAACATGCTTTTTCAATATATTTTGTTAAAGGATGCAATATATTTTGCTGAGATGTAATATTAAAATGATTATTTCATCTTATTTATTTATTTGTATAATTGGTGCTTTTCATTCCTAGTTACATGTACTAAAATAAGTCTGTACATTTCTTCTTTGTTGATAAATAGTAGGGCTGCACGATAAATCGCATGCGATATTTAATGCGTACTGCTCTACTAGATGGTCCACATTTGACCTGTAAAAAATATTACTTTATGAAGACAGAACTACAGACACATGTAAGGGTTAAAACATTTGGAGTGGATGATCTTGGCTCACCCTAGTCCTTCTTTAAATCTGTATGTTTCTTGAGCATCTTGACAGATCAGACTCCACAGTTCATTCCCGCTGAGTGCGGTCCATGCCGTGCTGTCGGCAGCCCCGCCCCCTCCGCGGCCACGCCTCCTGGAGCGCTTCTTAGACTCCTCCCCATTTGATGCAGAACTGAAGTGGGGAACCAGTAAGCAGCAGAGGAAATGACTCGCTGCTGCAGACAGGTTAGATGTTTCCACTCCCTGAGCAACACAAAAGACAGTTTCATTTTTTTGAATGAACAAATCCTTTAACTAAACATATTATCTTAACAGACTGACTGAAAAGAGTCATGCACACACACACACACTCTCACGCACACACACACACACAAACACACACTCTCTCTCTCACACACACTCACACACTATCTTTAATTTTTTTACACACTATTACTTTTGTGAAAAGAAATACCTGAATGTAGCCACTGAAGAACCGCTGAGCACAGCGCACAACAATCTCTGCAAACGCCAGCCTCTGAGAGAGATGGTAAGATATGATTAAGACGCTTCTTAAATGTAAAATCTCCCCCGATATAATGGATTTTAAAAGCATTTACCGTGATGTGTCTCAGTTGATCTTTGAGATCTGATTGGCTGATGGACAAGATCAGGTGACCCAGATAGCGGAGGTTTATGCCTTTCTGATGGAGGGCTTGTCGTAAAGAAGCACCATCCATGGGTATGTCAGTGCCGTGAATGCAGTCATTCATCTGAAAGTAAACATTAATTTGATCAAAATACAGTAAAAAAAAAAAAACTGTAATATTGTGAAATATTACTACTATTTTAGATAACTGTTTTCAAAGATGATCAAAGTTGAATTTTCAGCATCATTCCACCAGTCTTCAGTGTCACATGATCCTTCAGAAATCATTCTAATATGCTGATTTGCTGCTCTCAATGTTGAAAAGAGTTGTGCTGCTTCATATTTTTTTGGAAACTGTGATACATTTTATTTTTCAGGAATCTTTGCTGAACAGAAAGTTCAAAAGAATAGCATTTATGTGGAAAATATTGTGTAACATTATTAATGTCTATACTGTCACTTCTGATCAATTCAATGTGTCCTTGCGGAATAAAATTGTTTTTCTTTGGCCAAACGGAAGTGTATAATAACACAAAATACACTCACAAATTCTGGTATCCGGTCGTTTATGATAAACGATGCTGCTTCCTTCAATAATCTCTTCTGTAGCTCCACGGCGTCACTGTCTGAGCTGGGAAACTGCACACCTACTCGAAGAGACAGAAAACAATATTTAAGGTCTCAAAACAAAATCACCAATTATGGAAATTCTTATGTTTAGCAGTAAAGAAGCTAAACATAATGATTTCTGTTGAAGACGGACGTGATGATATTAGTTGTGCTCTGAAATCTAGTGAGCTGCCTACATAGACAGCATCTTATGGCTTAAGATGATGATGTTGGCTTTTAAGAAACGTTTCAGCCTAAATCTAAGGCAGCATCTTATGTATCCTACACGGAAAAGTCAACGTCATGTATTATGACAAACACAGTGAAATAACTTCAACATGTTGAAAATTGATTATAAATATTTTATTCAATACTGAAAGTATAATAAAAATAGTTCAGTTCCATTAAATAACTGAATATTCAACTCTCAATTATTTATATAATTTCAATATTCAATCATTCAAATAATTATAATTCAATATTATATGCATTTCTTCTCATAAGCACAGCAACATGTCAAGTCTCCCATGTTCTTCATATGTGACCCCGGACCCCAAAACCAGTCATAAGAGTCCATTTTTCAAAATTGAGATGCTGAATAAATAAGCTTTCCATTGATTTATGGTTTGTTAGGATTGGACAATATTTGGCTGAGATGCAACTATTTGAAAATCTGGAATCTGAGGGTGCAAAAAAATCAAAATATTGAGAAAATCGCCTTTAAAGTTGTCCAAATGAAGTTCTTAGCAATGCATATTACTAATCAAAAATTACATTTTGATACATTTACGGTTGGAAATTGACAAAATATCTTCATGGAACATGATCTTTACTTAATATTCTAATGATTTTTGGCATGAAAGAAAAATCTATCATTTCGACCCATACAATGTATTTTTGGCTATTGCTACAAATATACCCGTGCTACTTATGACTGCTTTTGTGCTCCAGGGTCACATATGAGCATTCAAAATGAGTCACTTATTAGGTTCCATTTCATAAGATACTGCCTAAATAGAGAGTATACAATAAGTAAACTCACTCAGGTTTGGAACAGAGCTTCTATGCAGTTTGTTTTAATGTATATTATTGTGTTGATTTGAGTATGAGCTTTTCCTGACCTGGGGAGTAGACATTAGGGTTGAAACGCATCTCGAAGATGATGTCACTGATGGATCCGACATCTTTGCAAGCTTTTCTGACTGCGTCTATGTTCCGAGAATCAGCTGACAACACACAAATAAACACATATGATTATTCCTGTTAAACAAATTGATCTCAGTCACACAGTCCATCATCCCATGACAGAACGTGAACACTTGCTTTTGTTCTTCTCACCAGATTTCATACACTCTTCCACCCCTCCGTTCTCCTCCATGTGAGCCTTCACTCGCTGCGAGAACTGAGCATGTCTGAAACATCAAGACAAATCGTCTTCATGTACACAGATTAACAAACATAAATATCCAGTTTAATATCCAAACGTTTATATATACAGAATGAGTTTGTGTGGAAAAACTGTCTTTCTGTGTGTTTGATTCATGCATTAATAATTGTTGCTTGTTCACGATATGATGCATTATGCACTGCTGCAATTAACATATAAATGTTTTTTTAATGAAAATAAAAATGTTGAATGTTATTTAGTTTTATTTTGTTTGAGCATCTCCACAAAGCAACAATGGCTTTCAATGTGAATTTGGGGGAGGGGCTACCAGTTAAATCGACCAATGGAAAGACTTGAGAAACTTAACAAAACTCAATGTGTCTGCAGCACTTAATACACAAATAATGTTAATTTTTATTAGCAAGAAAACTGATTCATTGTCAACATAGAAAGCAGTGTTACTTTAGTAACATTTATAAACTTTTATAGTTTAATATATATGATATAATATATATATATTATTAAACTATTATAGTTTATTAATATTTTGAATAAGCCTTTTTTTATACTATCAGTTTTCATATAAATTTTTACATTTTTAGTAATCGTGTTATTTTTATTAGTTTTTGTTTATTTTAAATATTATTATTTAGGTTTATTTCTTTTTAGTTTTAGTTCAGTTTTACTTTTTATTTCCAGTTAGTAAATTAATCTAAACGAAACTAAACAAAAATCTGAAATGTTAGAAAAGTTTTCCATCTAATGTTTACATTTTATTTCAGTTTTATTTCAATTAACAAAAAAAAATTAAAACTTTTGTTTTATAAAACGTTTATCATCAAAACGATAATAACACTGCTAGCAAGACAATAAATATTTTGTTGTAGCATTCTTACAAACCAACACTGGCTCAACCAATGCCGTGGATTTGGGGGCGTGGCTACCTGTGTGATTAACCAATGAAAACATTTGGGAAACCTGTTGAAACTCACTTGTGTTGAATGAACGCCTTCACTAGCTCCGGCCGTAACCGACACAAAACGTGAGGGTACTGTCTGGGAAAACTCCCTTCCGTTTCTGCTCCTCCTTCTCCATCTTCCACATGGAAGTTGGCATCAGCTGGCATAGTGCGATACACATCCAGCAGGTAATACCGACCATCGGCCCCCAGAATCCCCTGGGCATCTACAGAGGTGAAGAGGGGCAGCTGATGCCCGGTCAGCCCCAGAACCGCATGTCTTTGCAGAGAAAGAGCCTTTGCGGACTGAGCCACCAGCTCTAGGAGTTTCCGTCTCGATGGATTTTCCAGCGGCCCTGCACTGTAGCCGTATAAAAGACCATTGGGAACCTCAGCCTGCTCGGGACCCTGAATACCCGGGGCCAGGCCCTGCGCGGACAGCCGAACGCCGCGGTAGTCGGCCAGCGCGGTGGGGATGGTGTGCAGGTTTTGGAGGTCTCCGTCCAGGTCGCTGTAAGCCTGAACACATCGCAGCTCGTGGCGCTGAGCGGCTCTGTGACTCCGCTCTCCTCCCAGCGAATGGTCTCTGTGTGCCGGCATACTCATGAACACGCCGCCGCATAAGAACGCCGGGTCCTCGTGAGAACCGTTGACGGAGTCGACAAAACCATCGATCACCTTCTCTGCTGCCTGAGCAACAGCCCACACAAAAGCACTGTTCACCTGCAAGAACAAGCAATGAAAAGTAAGCAGTGTAAACTATGAAAACCATGGTTTTTCATGCATTGCAATGTAAGAAAAGGAACAATATCTCCTTCACCATGACAAATACCAAGACACAAGAGAGAAAACCTTTCTGCTCTTATCCCATACTTCCCTATCCTTAATAGAACAATTACAAAGTACATCATTATATAAAACGTGTCTTTCTATCTTGCTAATGTTAATGTAACTTGTTTATTTTATTTCCTTTTTTAAATATTAATAGAAAATTCATATTACATAATAGTACATTTTATTTCATTTTAAATCTTATTTTCATTACTACTGTTTTTGGGCGGGATCTCATGCTGTTTACCTGCACGAACAGACAAAGAATCATAAGAAGTGGTGTAAAAGCTACTTGGACACTATGGTTTTCCATGCAGTGCAATGCAATAATATAAAATACAAAAAAGTGCAATAAAATAAAAATGCAACGCATTTGTAATGCAATCCAATGAATAAACAAATCTAAAATAAAATAAAATATTAAGTACAATTAAATAAAAAATCTAATAAATATATAAAATAATTTTTTTTAAATATTTAGTGATGACAATTTAATGAATTGTTGAATCAGCTTTGAATCATTAAACTGAACCATGTGACCAAACTAATTCAATAAACGAAACTGGAGTTTTGAGTTTTGATCATGCTTAATACAGTATAAGAGACAAACAGCAATGTAGATGCTTGCTGAAAAAATAGCAAACTTTTGTGAAAATCTACACTGAGAACAGCTGTTACGCTACTGATGAATGTAGTTGAGTTAAACGGTACTGTTGAAATATTTAGATGTGTCTATGTGGTCTGTTTAGATTGTGTATACTTAATTATACTGTAAGGACAAAATAATCACCTTAGGTTAGACAACTGAAAAAAAACATCCCTATGGTGACATTCTCAAAGATAAAAATTCATAAATAAATTAATACAGTATGTGTTGTTTTAGAAGAAGGAAAAGAGTCTGGTTTAGTCTGTAGTAATAATAATGAGCTTTATATGGAAACAGCAGAAGTCCGCGGATATCTTGGCAAACGTGTGCTCAGACCTGCAGTAACGCTCGGTCCCTCTGAAGTCTCTCCTCCAGACTCCTCTGAGGAAGATCTCTGGCTGCTTGAAGTTCCTTATTCCAGTCAGGAGCCTAAAATACAAAGCAGAACATTTGAATGACATACACACACAGACAGGAAGGTGGACAAAGTGACAGACCAATGTGAATAGATAGGTACAGAGAAAGAATCTGAGATTTTTTCTTTTTTCTTTGAAAAGCAAGTCAAAAAGTACATTTTGGCTATTTAATTTATGCAATGCTGAAAAAATTGTCAAAATACATGGGGGAAAAAAATGTGAAAAACCGTATTCGGTATTTGGTCTTCGGCCCAGTGTTTCATTTTGTTCGGCTTCGGCCAAGAATTTTCATTTCGGTGCATCCCTAAACATTTTATTTTATATTATTTTCATTACTACAGTTTCTTTAGTGCTGACATGATGCATTTCTATGCTTCATTATTTATTACACAGTCATGTCAATAAAGAGATTTGTATTTGAGCACTGATCGGCGTTTACCTGTGCATTGAGGTCCTGGTCCAGACCCAGCCGGGCGCTGAAGCTGGGTTTGTGTGAGTGAAGTGAGGAGATGCCCAGCCAGCTGAGTGTGCGGTACGGAGTGGACAGTATCTCCTCAGCAGGCAGAGATGACCTGAATGAACAGAGACGCACAATGAACTATACTGACAAACGTGAGAGATATATGATGAGAGTGTGAGTGTGTGAGTGTGTGTGTGTGTGTGTGTGTGTGTGCGCGCGAGTGAGTGTGTGCGTGCGTTTGTGTGTGTGCGCGAGTGAGTGTGTGCGTGCGTGCGTGTGTGTGTGTGTGTGTGTGCGCGAGTGAGTGCGTGCGTGCGTGTGTGTGTGTGCGCGAGTGAGTGAGTGTGTGCGTGTGTGTGGGTCACCTGTGCCGCAGTGTGTTCAGGTTGTGCTTGAACTGTGGGCTGATGTGGGACAGCAGGTCGGTCAGACAGTGACACACTGGAGTCGACTGAGCAGGACGAGGGTCAAACACTTCGAGGGTCGACCTGAAACACAAAATACAGCTCAGTTTTTGAGTATATATATATATATATATACTGTATATATATTTATTTATTCACTTTTTAACGCCATGCCAGCATGGTTTTTGAGAAAAAATCTCTATCATTCTGTGAATTTAATATGCCACAAACAGTCCGTTATTTCAAAAATTACATTATTGGGTGAATCTCATGAAAACAACCCCATAAGTGAAGTAAAAAAAAAGGAAATAACAATAATATTTTGTACAAATAATATGCCATGTATACAGATATTTTCCTTTTTTTACATTTCAAAACATATATACGTGTTAAAACTAGACTTTTCTTTATGCAAAATCTAGTATATATTGTGTCATGTCTACTATATTTAAGAAATAGTATGTGAAACAGTATGCGAAATGCAGTGATCGACATTTTAGATAGTAGTAAGTTACATTTTTGTCACATGACCTTAATTCATCTTAAAAAAATGAATGGTTATTTTGCTTTTTTATTCCAGTTTTGTGTACATTGTAAGTTTTGAGTGTGCAATTAAATAGTGAGTCAAGGGACAGATTTTCAAAACTATTTCCAGTTCAAAATGAAGTTTGTTTTCAAAAATTCCAGTTTCTCCCACTGGAAAAGGCAGAAATACTAAGAGTGGTATGAGGGTAAGTGGTTCTGAATTTAGCAATACAGAGAGTCTTACCTGTTCATGTAAAATCCACGTGGGCAGGAAGTGATGTCACACTGCTTGCCCTCCAGAGTGTGGACACTGATGTACATGAAGTCACCTTGCAGCTTCCGGAAACCAGGGGGAGGGTTCCAACAGCTGAGTGACAGGTCCAGCAGGTAACTGGGAGCCTTTAGGAGAAGCAGTTTGAGAATGAAAAACAAAGCCAAATGCCTGAAGGTTTATTTGTGTGTATTTGACATACTTCACTGTGTGTGTTGGTGGGCAGCAGGGTCGTCAAAGGAGGAAGTTCTGAAACTCCAGGCAGAATGTAAGCTGGAGGGGGCTGGACTTCAGCAGACTGCTCTGTCTTACTATTGGCTCGTTTGTTCTTTGACGAGTGTAGAGTGGGAGGGGCTTCTAATACACACACAAAAAACACACAATCAGTCTCATTGCCATGGGCTTAAAAAATAATGAATGCATTTTAAATGATTTAGATGCAATACTGAATAAATGCACATTTATGTGCTTTATGATAACATTTGTGGACAAAGACAAAAGGTTTTCAAGATACTGGATCAGTGTTGTTACCGTTAACTAAAACTATTAAAAATAGTTTTCAGTCATTTAAATAAAGCTGACATAAAATATAAATATTAGATGAAAAACTTAAGACTTAAAAACCCTAAATGAAAACAAAGTGTCAAAAGATGAAGCACTAAAATTACTAAAACTAAAACTTAAATTAAAGCTATATAGAAATATGACAAATATCAAAAGCACATAAAAATTATTAAAACAAACTCAAATTAAAATAAACCTGAAAGTTAAAAAAAAGAAAGAAAAAAGTTAAAGATATTGGATCAGTATTGTTACTGTTAACTAAAAGAAAAACTACTAAATTTTAATAAAATAAAAATAAAAAGTGACAATATGATTATTAAAACAAACTAAAAATTTAAATAAAAAAACTGAAAATATTAAAAATAAAAAAGTAGTATATAAATAAAGAAATAATATATAAATATATATAATATTCCTATGCAAAGCATGCTGGGAACTAATCCACTGGCCAGGTTTCAAAGCTACCAATTAAAAAATAATACTACTAATAATAATAACGTAGAAATCTGAGTTACAATATTAAGTTGATATAATGAGCAACATAATTTCAGTTGTGGTCAGAATTATTGGCACCCTTGGTAAATATGATCAAAGAAGGCTGTGAAAATAAATCTGCATTGTTAATCAGAAAATAGTTGAGTCTCGGGGTCAGAAAACCTAAAAAAAAAATTTTTTTTTTACATTTTCAAACAGCACCTACACCACATGTTGTTTGGGAGGGTTTCAAGAAAAAAAATCAAGAAAAGAAAATGCTCTCATCCAAAATGAGCTGTTTAGCAACAAACACTTAAGATGGGTTTGGTGCACACAGGGATATAAAGTACCCCATGTGTACAATGAAATATACTGCTGTATTTTTTATGTTGTGGGCCTATATTTCTGCTGGAGGTCCTGGACATCTTGTTTAGACACACGGCATCTTTGATTCTATCAAATACCAACAGATAAAAAATCAATAAGTGACTGACTCTGTTAGAAATCTTATAATGGGCCATGTTTGGATCTTCCAACCGGACAATAATCCAAAAAATTATGTGAATTTTTTAAATAAAAGATCAAAATGATTAACAATGCAGATTTATTTTCACAGCCTTCTTTGATCATATTTACCAAGGGTGCCAATAATTCTGACCACGACTGTATATCAACAGAACTCAACTGCATTAGAGTGTATTTCTTACCAGCCGTTTGGGTGAGTGTGTTCAGTACAGCGGGAGATCGGCCCTCCATCAAGGCATCTTGGGGTCTGACAGCTTTCAGCATCTCCTGCACTCGTGCCAGATGAGCCTGTGCCGATCGAGGCGAGTACGGCTCTATAACACACACAAGAACACTTCATCTCATCATACCAAAATCAGGCTTTTTCCCCAGCTCTATTGATCTGCTGAATTTCAAGGCGTCTCATCTTGTAAAACTATGATTTATCCAGTGAGCAATAAGATCTATTCTATCATTTATTTTCCCACACTGCTCATAATGAGTGCCATGTGACTCACTTGGCTCAGAGAAAGGATTCATTAGTTTGCCATCAAACGATTTGCAATGAAATCAAGAAGCTGCAAAACCAGTATAGCAAAACCCCACTGATCCCTGTGGAAATTATCGCTAAAACCAGCTTAAACTGGTTGCTGCATTTTGGAACATGGTGGCTGGTTTCTAGCTGGTTCAAGTTGGTTGACCAGCCTAACCTTGCTAGGTTGTAGACCACCTTTGACTCGCAACAAACCAGTTACCAGCTGGTCATTCTCGCTTCAGGTGGTCAAACTGGTTTTGGATCGGGGGAACTGGTCAAGATGGACTATCAGCTGAAGGGGGATGGTCTGGCTGAGCCAGGAGAACATCTTGGACCAGCAATAAACCACATGGTTCCCACACTTTCTAGTGCATTTCCATGAGTTTTCCATGACCTTTCCAGTGGTTTATTATTCTTAGCTAGAATCTAAATATTGGATCAGTGTTGTTATTGTTAATTAAAAGTAAAACTATTAAAAATGATTCTTGTTAACTGAAATAAAATAAAAAAGGCTAATAAAAAATATAAATATAAAATAAAATAAGAACTTAAACTTGGCAGTTAAAAAGTAAAACTGAAATTAAAATGAATTAAAGCTTTATAAAAAGCTAAAAAAAAAAAAAGTTAAAAATAAAAACAAAGTAATAAAATAAAACATACTAAATTTTGTCAGTTCAAAACTTATAGTAATCAGGATTTCCCACCAAATATCCTCATATCCATGCATAATATATTTAAGTCTTTTACAAACGCACAAAAGTAAACGTCCCAAATGGAAGGTCTTTCTGTTTACCTTCCACTAGACGGAGAGTGACTCCAGCTTTGAAGCCCTTGACGTCCTGGAGCTCCGTCATGGGGTCGAGGGTCACACCTGAAAGGGCCAGAGTGACAGACGTGCGCGGTGCCACCTCCTCTCGGCCCAGAAGGGTCACGATGGCATCCTGGACCAGCCAGAATCCATGGACCTGCAAAGCAAACATTATCAGTATAGAAGACACAATCCTAGCATTAATGGATGACATGTGCTTTGCATCTTTTGATGTTCTGTTGACAGACATATTTGAACATTTTTGCATTGCTGATCAAATCACAAATCAGACTACTAAGTGTGAGGTTACACTTGATTCGTGGATGTTAATTGGACTAGAGCTCACCTGCAGCTCGAAGGGTTCGACACCCGCACCCTGAATCTTCACTGGAAACGATCCATCATCATCTTTTTTGCTTCCAGTAGCTTTTTTCCCATTGGCTGAACATGAGACATCTGCGGAGTGAAGGGGGTCAAATATGAGCTCAAAAATGTGCTTCAAGCCAAAACAGGAGTTACATAAGAGAGTTAGGAAATCTGTCCAAATGTCACGAAAGAAATGGAGGAAAAAGCGGTTTTCCATCCCAGAATCCATTAACACAATATTACCATGGTACTACCATGTCTTTTTAGGCATGCTGCCCTGGCATTACAATATTTTAGGGATATGTACAAAAATAAATAAATAAATAAAACGTATTAACTTCTGTCACAGTGCAAAAAAACTACGTTTTAAAGCTGTAAAATATCTTAACATCCTTAAAACAAGATTACACCGGAATTTCATTTTAACAAAAAACTTTAGTTTTACTAAAAAATATATATAAAATAAAATAAAAACGTACACATTTTTGTCACAGTGCAATAAACAACATTTTAAAAGCATTTGTTTTCTCTCTCTCTGTTTTTATCTTTTCTTCTTGTTTTAAGTATTTTGTAGTTTTTGAGTAAACAAATTGGGGAAAAATTGCCAATAAGGTAAGAAAAATTGAATCTTAACAGATTTAACAGATTTTAAGTTTTTATTTTATTTTATTTATTTTTGTAAAAAACTTTAGCTTGTTTTACTAAAAAATACAAAAAAGGAAATAAAATAAAACATACAAACTTTTGTCACAGTGCAATAAACTTATTTTTTTATTTATTGACTGATTTTATTTTAAAATAAGATACAATTAATTGGGAAGCACAACTGTATTTAAAAAAAGTAAGTCACTAAGTAAGTATAGTAAAGTTTTTTTAAATCCTCTGTTTTTATATTTTCTTCTTAATTTAAGTAGTTTTAAGTAATTAATTTAAGTTTTTTGTAAACAATGGGGGGGGGTTCCTACCAATAAGGTAGGAACATTTTTAAATAATACAATAAAATGAAAAAAATTATTCAAAGATTTTGTATTAGATATTTATATATTAGTCTACAAAACAAATTTTAAGCATTAAATGCTTTAGATTTAATAGGTTAATGAGAAACAAATTCAGTCACGTGTCCAAACGATTGACTGGTAGGGTATATCAGAGCACCACAGTATTACCATCTGATTGTGGTACCGCCAAAAGACTATTATAAGGGTCAGATGGATGTGACTGAAATCACATAAACCCTCACAGATGTTTTCATCTGACTTCCATTAGAGCCACAGATCTGAGTCTCTCTTGTTGGACTTGTAGGCAAGTCTAAGATCTCGAATAACAGCAAGATTCGGCTTGATACGGCATGAGCTTGTCCAGACATCTTCCAAACTTCCCCCTGGCTAATGAGAGCGGAGAACAGGCGCTGGATGAGTGGCTATTACTAGAACTAATACACTCACTGACGGCAGATACTTCTCCGAGACTCGCTGGACATTAGCAAGAAAAACTCTGAAAATTCTCTCACACAAACATCAAACACGACCAACAAAAAACAGCTTTCAGGATGAGATGCATCATCGCTCTTCAGCACAAAGACTATTGTTCATGGGTCATGTGTACTTTATAGGTCACAGTAAACATAAAATGTAACCTTTTGTAAAACCACATTTCATCTGTGGTTAAGAAGAAATGTGTTTAATGATAGTAAAATGTGTTAAATGGAACTGGGTGTGCTTTTTTACCATTATCCATAAATGAAAAAAATATTTAATAAACAAGACAGTGTGGTTGAGGCATGTGTAGAATTTTATGAATGATGGGCATTTCGATTAATCTGTGTGCTGAAGTCTGTCACTCGATTTTAAGATAACAACAAGAGTCATTTACAGTAGCAGATGCTTGGACAATTCACCTGGAATAACCTGAGATGGAATATCATGATCAAGTGCATGAAAGATTTCCAGAACTGGAAATATTGTCATAAATATAGTTCTGTACCACACCCTGTGCTTGTTTATTAAACTTTTAGCTAGTTCGATTGATCTTCCAGCAATTTTTTTTTTAGAAAAATAAAATATATAACATTTAACAATATTTTCAAAACTTCAGTAAATATAAGAAATTACGCTTATGATTTTTTTTCTCATTACCCAAATACATAAATTCAATCATTTAATTTCAATGATAGTATTTGTACTGCCAAAATAAATCCTAAATGAATCATTCAAATTACTGTGATGTGGAAAAATAAAATGTCTAACAAATATATAAGAAATTTGACATCATTTAAAAAATATCAGTAATTATAAAATGTAAAAAAATTGTCCTGAGAATAATGTGGCAATGCAAAAAATCTTAATGGTCCTAAAATAATCTTGCATAACACAATGCATTTGTACTAAATAAGTAAGTCACATAATAATAATAAAATTTCAGTTTTCATAAAGTTAGGTAAATTGTGCATGCAATTATCCTGAAAACCCCCCCTCCCCGCAAAATAAATAATTAATTATAATAATTAAATAATTTTTTTTAATTTTAATTTACTTTTTTTTTTTTTACTAAAAAATAAGCACAGAAAATGTGAACTGCAGATTCCAATCTATTCTCAAAAAAGATCAATCCATGCAGAACTCCAGCCTTTCAGTTTCAAAGGGTGATCTGAAAAGTTTAGGGGGTACATTAGTGCACGAGTGTTGATTATCAGCAGAAAAGTGGTTTAAAAGTAGCATATACATTTAGGAGGGCACACATCACCCCTCAACAGCGAGTGCCTCGAGAGGGACGCGATCATGACAAGCTGAGAGACAGGAATGTCTGCGAGTCTGGCCTGATGCCATGAGGAATCTCACAGATCTGCCTCCTCAGTGTAACACGTGTGTTCGGAAGAGCAGGAAAGAACCACAGAAGTGAATGAGTAGACAGACGAATACACCAGGAGGTCAAAGGTGAAGTTAGCTATTTGTGAACGCTTCGTTCTAAAGTGCAGCACCATAAATAGGCTATAACTCCAGCTTCATGTGTTTGTGTGTTACTGCACATTGACGCATGCATGAGTTCAGCTTCTCACTGTGTGCATCAAACTTTTCACACAAACACCAAAAGAGCGCTTGATCCAAAGCAATGAGAAACCATCAGGAAGAAGTTGAGAGAGAGGGAGGAGACTGGAATGAATCAGAGCAACTCAACTCTTACCCATAGTTCTCTTCTCTCCGTTTCCTTTCTTCGCCGTGTCCCTCATTTCCGCTCTGGTTTCTCTCTCTGTGGCCGCAGGTTTGCTCTTTGATTCGGGACGCAGTGTGTTCGGAGAGCTGTCAGGTGTGACTGAAACAACACCTCTTTTTAGTTTTTCATTCCTTTCCCTCGGCCGACCACTCCCTGCTGGCAGAGCTTCTTCTCCTCCCACTCTCTCTCTCCCACTCT